GTGTAGGAAAAATCTCGACACTTTTTGCAAGCAAAGCTCGTTGCACATTTCAAGAAGGGCTTCCTTTGCTCTCACAGATATTTCCTACTAGATCAGATTGCAGTAATGTATAATATCTCAAAAACCAACAAATTTCCATCGGTTTCATCAATCTCTCTCTTCCATCCGGTTCCCATCCCGTCCGGCATGCGACGTCCCGCGGAGAGCGACAGGGTTCGAACCCTTGATCAAGGCAAGGGCGGGATTAAGGGGGGCCCCGATGCAACCCCGTGCCCGCTACCCAAGCCCGCCGATGCTCAAGCGCTCAGGAATCTCACCGGTGAGACTTCCGGGAAATCGGTTTATATTCATGTTCCTCGGCCATCATGGCTTAGGCCGAAACTCTTAGTCGCATGATGCGACTCCGTTCATGTTCCTTCCCGCGTGTTACTTTCCGCTTTTACCATGATCTCCTCGCCTTACCATCGTATAGCGTTTTTCTCTCCTTTCCCCACCTTTCTCAACGCAGCTATTCTTTCCGCACGGCTGAACGCATCGGAAAATGTTGGGGCGCGAGGCCGTCGTCAACGCTACCGGTCGAGTCTGCCTGGCTGTCTTCGAGTAAGCCAACCGCCTTTCATGTGCCGACCTGGTCCGTGGTCCAGCCTTCCACCGTGATGGAGTGGACTCATCGCGAAAGTGTAAGACCTAAAAAGTTGATTTCTTGCAACTTCAAAGTTGCGGGAAAGCAACTAGAGTTCCGCAAGAAAAAGTTTAGGTCAAAAGCTTCTGTGGCGGGGCGACTTTCGAAGTTGCGGAAAAGTGACGACAAAGCTTCGAAAGAACGGCTATATTGCAACCAGACAACACAACTAAAAGGTGACATCAGAAGTGACATTTGTTTGAAGGTCGTGAGCGTTGAGTCCTCTTTGCCACCCCCTTTGCTACGTGGACGCCTGTACGCCACGTGTGAGGATATTTCCTGCCAGCTGTCAAGGTGAATAGTGGATGGGAGAATGCCACGTGGCCTAATCAGATTTCGGGACGCACATTGGCGCATGCAATACCAATTGTGGAGATTCTGGAGTTAAGCATGTACATGGAGAAGTTTAGACTTTCTAAGATATATGTTTTTGTACATCGGACTTGACAATTCGCACGAACACCATAATCAACATGATCTGGCACAACCAACTAATATAATGAAGGTACTTCAACAGAAGCAGACATTGCTGCCCTTTCAACCACCTGAGCTTGGTGTTCAGAAACACACGTAAAATCAGAAACATCAAAACTCAACAAAGGCAGGGTAGTTTTTTCCCTCTTAGCCATGGTTGTCAGAACATTATAGCTTATGCTTTTGTGTAGGCTATAGTGGGGTATCCCATAGGGGGTACAAACCCAATTAGGGTTAGTACTTGTACCCACTTCATTCATAGTTCATTCTTTTTCTCGTTTCAGTTTTCTCATGGTATCGAGCAGGTTCCCTCGTGGGAACTGTTCCTAGGGCCCTACTACTGCTTCCGCTGCTACTCGATCTGTCGCACGCCCCGTGGCGTGCGACCTTTTTTTGGCGCGCGGCGATTTTCTTTCTGGCGCGCGCCCCGAGGCGCGCGGCCCCGCTAACCCCGTCGCGCCGCCCCTAGCGGGCCACGTCGCGCCGCCCTCGCGGCCCCGATCTGCCGCCCTAGTGGCCTCGTCACCTACATCTGCGGCCTCAGCGCCGCCCTTCCCGGCCCCGGCTCCGCCCTTCCGGGCCCCGGCGCCACCTCGGCTGGCCCCGTCGCCTACCCCGGCGACCCCGACGCCGCCCTTCCCGACCCGGCCCTGCCTCTGCTGGCCCCGTCGCCTGCCCCTGCGGCCCCAGCTCCGCCCTTCCAGGACCCGGCCCCGCCTCTACTGGCCCCGTCGCCTACCCCTGCGGCCCCGGCGCTGCCTCTTCCCGGCCCCGGCGCCACCTCTGCTGGCCCCGGCGCCGCCTCTGCTGGCCCGGACGCCTACCCTGCGGCCCCGGCGCCACCTCTGCTGGCCCCGTCGCCGCTCCACCCGGCCCCGCCGCCGTCCCCAAGCGGCCCCGCCGTCACCACCGAGCCGGCGGCGCCGCCGAGCTAGTGCCGAGCCACCCGAGCCACCCGAGCCGCCCGAGCCGCAGCGCCACCTCAGCCGCCCGAGCCGCCGAGACGCCGAGCCGCCGCGCTGCAGTTGCTGTAGTGCCGCCGTGCCGCCGAGCCGCCCGAGCCGCCCGCACCGCCGAGTCGCCGAGTCGTCGAGCCTGCTCTTCCCACCACTGGTGAGCCCCTGCCTTACTGGCACGCTGCCTGCCGCTTGCTTGGCTGCCTGCCTTACTACTGCTACTACTACTGGCGGCGGCCAGATGCAGCTCCAGCGACCCCCACGCGCGTCTCTCACGCCCCAGCAGCTTCGTGAGTGGTACGCTCAGAGTGGAGGGTCTCTCAGTTCTGTTCGCTGCTCTTACGTGATTCGCACTGGTGCTCGGACTGGTCAGACCTTGTGGGACGCCTAGTCACACACAGTCCCGCTGCTTCGCCCGTCTGAGCGACGCCTGGCGTATCGAGTTTGGCGACGAGGCTGAGCTCCCCGACTGGGTGGAGTTTGCTTAGGCAGAGGGTAGATATATTTGCTCTTGACTATGATGCTATTCTCACTGCCATGTATGCATTGCCTACTAGTGCTGACCGTGCCGGTCACCTGTGCGTACCGCCTGACCCGGGTATCGAGCCTGCTGCTCTAGCTGCTGGTGAGGCTGCTGCTCTGGGTGCTAGTGTGTCTCCTGCTCCAGGTACAGGTGCGGCTGCTGCTCTAGGTGCTAGTGAGTCTGCTTCCTCAGGTGCGGGTGAGTCTGCTCTCTCAGGTACCGCGCCGGCTTCCGGACTCTCACACCTTCACCCTTGACTCGGGGGCTTCCCGCTCCTTCTTTCGAGACCGCACCACACTCACGCCGCTTGGTCGGCCAGTTGCAGTCTCTCTGGCAGACCCCTCTGGGGGCCCTGTCCTTGCTCACCTCTTGACCTTGCTTGTACTGTTACATATATATATACCTGCTCTTGCTTGTCTAGCCTTATATGTATATGTACTCCTGCATGTGAACTGGCCTTGTGGCCTTGTACTTGTGCTCGGAATGTGTGTGACTTTGTGATCCACCCTGAGCTTTGCTTTGTTTTGCTTTGCCTGACTGGTCTTGTGACCCCCTGTTCTCCCCCACTTTGCCTATGGGGGTGTGTCAGAACATTATAGCTTATGCTTTTGTGTAGGCTGTAGTGGGTATCCCATAGGGGTTACAACCCAATTAGGGTTAGTAATTTGTACCCACTTCATTCATAATTCATTCTTTTTTCTCGTTTCAGTTTTCTCAATGGTACCTGCAAAAACTGATGTTAGCCATGATACCTGCAAAATCAGATCTGACGTTACAAAAGTGCGCAGCACAACAGGGAAGAAGGGAGTCATGCAACATGGTAATTAAAGGGAGTCAACATAGCAAGTAATTAAAAGGAGGCTACTTACTGGCTACTCACCTGTCCTGTACGCGATTTCATTTGACATAAAATAGCGTGGCATGGTGACGTTAATAAAAACAAATCTGCGCACAGGACATAAGAGAGAATGCACATATAAGACAATCCCCACCTTTGAGATCCACTCTGTGCACCGCATAGTAAGCACGCAAGTTTTCTGGGCTAGAAAAGAGCGTCTACTTCGGAAAAGGCATAAAACATGGCAGCGTGGAATCAACGGAAAAGCGCGACATGCTGCGACGTACCGGAAAATGCAACACGATGCACGCCATCCGCTGTGCGGTAGTAAGACGAACCCAGTTGACATTAATAGTTGAGCCGTACCTGCAGCCAACAGTCCAACGGCACAAAAAGAAATGAATAATACAAAATAGCTTTAGGAGTTCTCAACCGAAAGCACAGCATGGCACCATGAGGCACATTAGAGCGACATTCCGGCAGACGAAATTATGGCGGTTAGATCTGGAGAAGGGAGAAATGGGCGAGGGATGAGATTGAAGAGCAAGGAAAAATGGTCGAGATTGTGGTTGAGAAGAAATGGTTGAGAAGTGGTCGAGTAGAAATGGTTCGAGAAGGTTCTGGAGGTGGTGGGTGAGGTGTTGATGTGGAAATAGGGAATCGTGTTGATTGTTGGGAAAGTGTTTGGTTCCTTTCTAGATTGGTTAAAAATGTTTGTTGGTTGGGTACAACGCAACTGGGTTGGGGGGTTAGTGTTTGGCGACGATTTGGTACTTCGCAAATTTGTGTCAAACGCATATGCTATAGTCTGTGTAGGCTGTAGTGGGGTAGACAATATGGGGTACAACACTTTTAGGTTTTCCTACTTGTACCCACCTGCTTGCTAGTTCAGTCATCCCTCGTTCTTTCATATGGTATAGAGCAGGTTCCCTAGTGGGAACGTTTCCTATGGCCCACCGAATATCGATTTTTTTCTCCTGCCCGGAGCGCGCTTCGCCCCTGCCCGGGTCGCACCCCGTGTGCCTACCCTCCCGTCGCGTCCCCTGCCCTTGGTGGCCCGTCGCGCTCCCCTAAGGCCCCGTAGCGGCCCCTCTCACGGCCCTTCGGGCCCCTTCAGGCCCCTCGTGGCCCCTTCGCGGCCTCCCTTCGCGGCCCCTTCACGGCCCTTCGCGGCCCCTTCACGGCCCCTTCGCGGCCCCTTCACGGCCCCTTCGAGGCACCTTCACGGCCCCCTCGCGGCCCCTTCACGGCCCCCTCGCGGCCCCCTAGCGGCTCCCTTCGCGGCCCCGCCCCGCTGCCCGTAGCGGCCCCCGCCCCGTCGCCAGTCGCAGCCCCGCCCCCGTCGCCAGTCGCGGCCTCGCCCCGTCGCTAGTCGCGGCCCCACCTCCGTCGTCAGTCGCGGCCCCGCCGCGTCGCCCCTGCCTCGTCGTGACGCCCCTGCGGGACCCGCGAGGCGCGGCTCCTGTGCGTCGCGACGCCCCTGCGGGACCCGCGTGGCGTCACCCCTGCCCGCCGCGGCGCCCTGCCCTAACCCGCGCCCTGGAGCAACCGCCCCTGGAGCAGCCGCCACTGCAGCAGCCGCCCCTGGAGCAGCCGCCCCTGAAGCAGCCGCCCCTGGAGCAGCCACCCCTGAGCAGCCGCCCCTGGAGCAGCCGCCACTGCAGCAGCCGCCCCTGGAGCAGCCACCCCTGCAGCAGCCGCCCCTGGAGCAGCCGCCCCTGCAGCAGCCGCCCCTGGAGCAGCCGCCACTGCAGCAGCCGCCCCTGGAGCAGCCGCCCCTGGAGCAGCCGCCCCTGGAGCAGCCGCCACTGCAACAGCCCACCCTGGAGCAGCCGCCCCTGCAGCAGCCGCCCCTTGAGCAGCCGCCACTGCAGCAGCCGCCCCTGGAGCAGCCTCCCCTGCACCAGCCGGCCCTGGAGCAGCCGCCCCTGAAGCAGCCGCCCCAGGAGCAGACGCCACTGCAGCAGCCGCCCCTGGAGCAGCCACCCCTGCAGTAGCCGCCCCTGGAGCTGCCGCCCCTGCAGCAGCCGCCCCTGGAGGAGCCGCCCCTGCAGCAGCCGCCCCTGGAGCAGCCACCTCTGCAGCAGCCGCCCCCTGCAGCAGCCGCCCCCTGCAGCAGCCGCCCCTGGAGCAGCCGCCACTGTAGCAGCCGCCCCTGGAGCAGCCGCCACTGCAGCAGCCGCCCCTGGAGCAGCCGCCCCTGGAGCAGCAGCCCCTGCAGCAGCCGCCCCTGCAGCAGCCGCCCCTGGAGCAGCCGCCCCTGCAGCTGCCGCGGAGCCCTCGCCCTACAGTGGTCGCGGCCTCGCCATTGCCGTCGTCGTACGCCTGCCCTTCTCGCCACTGGTGAGCACTGCCCTGCCCATACTGCTGTTACTGCTGCTCTTGCTGCTACTACTCTTTCTACTGCTACTGCTACTCCTGGCGTGGCCAGATGCAGCTCCAGCGCCGTCCGCGTGAGTCCCTCGCCCCCCAACAGCTTCGTGAGTGGTACGCTAGTTGGGTTGTAGGGGTGGCCGCGCAGCGACTACTGCTATTGCTACTGCTGCTACTACTGCGGCTACCACTGCTCCTGCTGCTCTTGGCGGTGGCCAGATGTAGCTCCAGTGACGTCCGCGTGAGTCCCTCACGCCCCAGCAGCTTCGTGAGTGGTACGCTACTTGGGGTTGTCGGGGTGGCCGTAGTGGGAGTCGTCCTGAAGTGAGTAGTTCGGCAGCTGCTTGAAGTGGCCAGGTGCAGCTGCAGCGTCGTCCATGCGCGGTCCTTTCACCCCAGCAGCTTCGTGAGTGGTACGCTCAGCGTGACGGGTCACGGGGTATTGCTCGCTGTCCGTACGCCATTCGCACTGGTGCTCGGACTGGTCAGCCTTGCGGGACTTTTGGTCACGCAGAGTCCCGCTGCTTCGCCCGTCTGAGCGACGCCTTGCGTACGTAGTTTGGCGACGCGACTGAGCTCCCCGACTGGGTGGAGCTGCTTAGGCTGAGGGTAGAAATCTGTACTCTTGACTATGATGCTATCCTCACTGCCATGTATGCATTGCCTACTAGTGATGAGGGTGACTGTTACCTGTGTGTTCCGCCTGACATGGGCATTGAGACTGCTGCTCTAGGTGCTGGTGAGGTTGCTGCTCAAAGTGCTGGTGAGGCTGCTGCTCTAGGTGCTAGTGAGTCTGCTGCCCCAGGTGCGGGTGAGTCTGCTCTCTCAGGTACCACGTCGGCTCACGCCTCCCACACCTTCACCCTTGACTCGGGTGCTTCCCGCTCCTTCTTTCGAGACGGCACCACACTCACGCCGCTTAGTCGGCCAGTTGCGGTCTCCCTGGCAGACCCCTCTGCGGGTCCTGTCCTTGCCGACTTCTCCACTGTCTTACCGTGTCCGGCGGCTCCTTCTGGCACCCTGTCAGGTCTTTAGCTCCCCTCGTTCTCTACGAACTTGGTGAGTGGTGCTGATCTACAGGATGGGGGGGTTCACCAGTTCACTCCTGCGAGTCAGCGAGTGACCCACTGCACGTGTGCTCGGACAGGGCCGATACTTGGCCACCTTTACCCGTCGGCCGGGGTCGAGCCTGTACACACTAACTACTGGGTCTCCTCCGGTTGCTGCGTCTGGTCAGGTAACTGCGTCGGGTCAGGTGTCTGCTGCGGCGTCCAGGTCTGGTCCTGAGTCTGCCCCCTGCTCGTGTCGTCTCCTGTCTCACCAGACTCTCCTCTGGCACCATCGCCTTGGTCACCCCTCCTGCCTCGTCTCCGAGGCATGGCCTCCCGTTGTCCTTGTCTCTGGTCTCCCCCGGTCCCTCCCTCCTCTTCCTCCACGGCCTGCCCCTACCTGCGTTCCCTGCGTCGAGGGGCGGCAGCGCGCTGCTCCTCACTCCTCCGAGTTTCCTCCGATAGAGGCTCCATTGCAGACGCTTCACATGGACGTGTGGGGCCCAGCCCGCGTCCGTGGACAGGGTCACGAGCGTTACTTCTTGTTGGTGGTTGACGACTACTCGCGTTACACCACCGTCTTCCCCTTGCGCAGCAAGGGTGAGGTCACTGGGGTGTTGATCGACTGGATCCGCGCTGCTCGTCTCCAGCTCAGAGAGAGTTTCGGCTCTGACTTTCCTGTTCTGCGTCTGCACTCTGATAGAGGCAGAGAGTTCTCCTCTGACATTCTGCGAGCCTTCTATCGTGCACGAGGCATCCGCCAGACGTTCACGCTTCCGGCCTCTTCTCAGCAAAATGGGATTGCTGAGCGCCGCATTGGTATGGTCATGGACGTCGCTCGTACGTCCATGCTGCATGCGGGTGCCCCCCATTTTCTGTGGCCGTTCGCGGTTCAGTACGCGGCGCATCAGATCAACCTTTAGCCCCGGGTCTCCCTGCCGGAAACCTCCCCTGCTCTGCGGTGGACGGGGAAGGTTGGCGATGCGTCTGCGTTCCGTGTTTGGGGATCCCGGGCGTTTGTCCGCGACTTGTCTGCGGACAAGGCTGTCCCCTCGTGCTGTTCCCTGCTTCTTCCTTGGCTTCTCCCCTGACGCGCCTGGTTGGCAGTTTTACCACCCCACCTCGCGCCTGTGTTCTGTCCTCTCAGGACGACACGTTTGACGAGTCGGTTCCCTATTACCGTCTCTTCCCCAACCGCACTGCGTCCCTCCCCCCGCCGCCGCTCTTCCTTGCGCCAGGTCCCCCCCCCAGGTAGACCCCCTCCCCCCTCAGGGTCCTGCCCCCTCAGGTGTGTCCCAGGTAGACGCAGTCGAGCCTGTCGAGGTAGCTGTTGACTCTGGTGCTGCTGGGGGTGCGGGGCCTGGGAGTGCTGAGCCTGGGGGTGCTGACTCTGGGGGCGCTAAGACTGGGGGTGCTAAGCCTGGGGTTGCTGAGCCTGAGGGTGCTGAGCCTGGGGGTGTGGAGCCTGGGGGTGCTGAGCCTACTCGTGTGGCGTCTGGAGGGACTGGGCCTGGAGGTCCTTCGGGTGCTTCGTCCCGGCGAGAGTTACTCTCTCCACAGGAGTTGCGCGAGTGGTTTGCTCGGCGTTGGAGCCGTACTTCTGGAGCTGGAGGTGCTGCAGGTGCTGGAGGTTCTACTGCTGCTAAGGGTATTGGTGCCACGAGTCCCGGAGGTGCTCCTACTGGAGGTACTGGAGCTGCTGGGCCTACGGGTACTCCTGCTAGAGCTGGAGCTGGAGCTGCTGGGGGTGTTGGCGCTGGAGGTGCTGCTAGTGTTGGTGCTTCTGAGGGTGCTGGTGTTGGTGCTGCAGGAGTTGGTGCTGCTGGCGCGGCTGGAGTTGGGGGTGCTACTGGAGCTGGAGCTGCTGGCGGTGCTGGAGCTGGGGGTGCTACTGGAGCTGGTGCTGCCGTTCGTGGTGCTGGCGCTGTTCCTGCTGGTTCTGGGGGTGCTGCACGGCCGTGGCCATACTTCGTTCCGCTCCTTGAGCAGGTTCTTCGTCTTCCGCCCTCTACTAGTCCTGCTCCTCTCTTAGAGTGTCCGCCGCCTGTCCGGTCTGAGTCACAGTTACACCCAGCCTCCCCACTGCCTACTCCTTCTCCCTACACTGGTCCTACTGGAGGTCTTGCTGAGCGTCGTGAGCCTGCATCTCGTCCTGCATCGCCAGTCCGTGCTGCTCGCACTAGTGGTCATGGTTCGCGTCCGCGTCCTCCTCCTCTCCCCAGCACGCACCGGATGTCTCTGCGTCCTTCCACTGCTCCGCTGCGTGCCCCTTTGCCTTCTCCTCCTAAGTCCTCTCTTCCTGCTCTTGCTGACCCGGAGTCTGACTCCCTTCGTGCTGCCAGTCCTACTGTCACGCGTCTCCTTGCTACTGTCGTCACTGACCCTTCCTTCGAGTCCACTGCTGCGTCTGCCTTAGTTGCTGAGGTTGTCGACTTTGCTGCTCGTTGTCGTCTAGACTACGCTGCTAGTCTTGTCGCTGAGTCTGAGTCTGTCTGTCCTCCGTCCGTCGGGGGTGAGTGTGCCCTTGGCACGGACGTCCTTGAGGACAGGCAAGAGGAGTTCCAGTGCTTTGCTGCTGCTTCACCTCATCTCGTGTCCATGCTGCTAGCCCCCTGAGGGAGACCCGGATGCACCAGACATCCCGACTCCGCGCTCTTACGCGGAGGCAATACAGGGTCCCTACTCCTCTCAGTGGCAAGCAGCCATGGACGCAGAGATGGCTTTCTGGAAGTCCACAGGCACATACGTCGACGAGGTTCCCCCACCTGGGGCGAACATCGTCAGTGGCATGTGGATTTTCAGGGTGAAACGGCCGCCGGGCTCTCCGCCTGTCTTCAAGGCGCGTTACGTGGCTCGAGGCTTCAGTCAGCGGCAGGGAGTTGACTACTTTCAGACCTTCTCTCCCACCTCGAAGATGACCACTCTTCGGGTGCTACTGCACATAGCCGCTCAGCGCAACTATGAGCTTCACTCTCTTGACTTCAGCACTGCTTTCCTACAGGGTAGCCTGCACGAGGAGATCTAGCTGCGCCGCCCACCTGGCTTCACTGGGTCTTTTCCTTCCTGGCACCCAGTGGAGCCTCTGGCGGCCACTCTACGGTCTGTGCCAGGCGCTCCGTGAGTGGCACGACACACTGAGGACTACACTTGTGGCTCTTGGGGTTTCTCCTTCTACTGCCGACCCGTCGCTGTTTCTGCGCACCGACACCTCTTTGCCGCCGTTCTACATCCTCGTGTACGTCGACGACTTGGTCTTTGCCACTGCTGACACTGCTGGACTCGCCCACGTGAAGTCCGAGCTGCAGAAGAGACACACGTGCACAGACCTGGGTGAACTGCGCAGCTACCTTGGCTTGCAGATCACCCGGGACAGAGCACAGCGCACCATTACCCTGACTCAGTCACACATGGTGCAGCAGGTCCTTCAGCGCTTCGGCTTCACGTACTCCCTTCACAGGCCACTCCTCTGTCTACTCGCCACTCGCTCTCAGCTCTGCCTTCGGATGAGTCCGTAGAGCCGAGTGGCCCGTACCCAGAGCTTGTTGGCTGCCTCATGTACCTGATGACCTGCACACGACCTGACCTTGCATACCCTCTCAGCATTCTGGCACGCTATGTTGCTCCTGGGAGACACCTCCCAGAGCACATGGCTGCAGCGAAGAGGGTGTTGCGCTACTTGTGCAGTACGTCGGGCATGGGGCTAGTGCTTGGAGGGCGGAGTCCAGTGGTCCTCACTGGTCACGCAGACGCGTCTTGGGTTGACGACTTGGCTACACAGCGGTCGTCACAGGGTTACACCTTTAGCCTTGGTTCCGGTTCTGTTTCGTGGCGGTCTACCCGCTCGTCTTTTGTTCTCAGCTCGAGCTGTGAGGCTGAGATCTACGCAGGGGCCATGGCTGCACAGGAGCTACGGTGGCTCACCTACCTGCTAACTGACCTTG